ACCACACCTCTCTAGCGCAGCCACAGATAACCTCAGGTTTTTGACGTCGCCCTGTTTGGGAGAGATTGTACCTATATACAGTATATATATATATTTTCGGAAAACCAGTCGGAGGAGAGAGGGGAAAGAGGGAACGCTGATTACATCACGAGGAACTACTTGCACGATTCCTCTCCGAGTTCCAGCTTCGTGCTATCGCTTCCCAATCCATGCAAGGATAGGAAGCGAGATCAGATAGATCTCGCCATGGAAGGAGAGGAAGAGAGCAGCGCAACCCTTTCTTTCCCCATTTGCACATGAAATGGCGTATGGCGGGGGTAGAGCATTTCATGTACAGTATTCAAACGTGTCGCGGGAGGAGACGCTTGGGCACAAGGCGGCCGGCGAGGAAACACGGTGCTTTCCTAACAGAAGGCTGGCGAGAAGCAGCAAATTCTTAGAAAACATGCGCGCCGCGGTGTGGTAGGTCACCTCAGAAATATACACCCGCCGCCGCCGCCGCCACGCAGCCCGCACAAGGCACAATAAGCCGTGCCGGCTTGTGTATGCCCGCAGACACCGAGGTAGCCATTCTCAAAGTCTGAGGGGCATCCGAGCGGCGACGGGGGAGGGCACCGCGCACTCATACCCCCCAAATTTATCCCGAATATTGCGGGGAGGGGGCTGAGGACGCCTTGCTCGGAATCGCTAGCCGCATGCTTGTGTTTGTGTGTGTGTGTGTGTATTGTGAGAGGAACAGAGAGATAGGGGGTGCCCCGAAGGGGGTCTCGACTTATGCCAAACCCCACGTTGAGGGAAAGAGCCAGCCTAGGCAAGTCGCCACAGCTTTCGCCACTTTCTTGGCTTCCCGGCTGCGGTGGGCTGAGGCGGCATTTCCGAGCCCTGCCGGCAGAAGAGCCAAGTTCTGAGTAAAACGACTGGCGCTGCGAGCGCCTCTTCCTCAGACCCACGTCCCCGAAAAAAAGAGGGAAGCAGGCACCCCTTCTGAGCCCAAGGAAGTGAGTTGCGCCGGAAAGAGGGAGGCTTAGCCGCTCAGCGCCCGTTGCGGCTTAACTGCCTGCCAGAGGCCGTGCGACGGGCTCACAAACTGAAGCACCACAACGCGGTTCATTCCGCTCCGAACAACTCTCCCTTCTGTGGCCCCTGGCGTGGAGGAGCCTCCCGGCCAGCCCTGCCACGGGGTGGGTTTTAAACAGAAAGAGATCCACGGGTGTTGCAGACAATCGTGCTTATCAAGGGGATAGCGTGTTGCTGGGGGAATGACCAGAGTGGGAGACAAAAAAAAAATCACGCTTCCTTTCCCTTTTGGGGGTCACACATCCCATAGACATTAACATCACGAGTGAAAAAATGAAGGGCGTGCTTTGGGAACCCCCAGGTGAGAACGGAACGGGAGACCTGAAGGAGCTGCATTTTTTTTTTTTAATGAAAGCCCTGTAAAAATTTAACAATGGAAAACATTGACTGAGGAGAGGAAAAGGGCGAGGGAGGAAAGAACGAGCGAGCGAGCAAGAACGCCTTTAAAGTTGCCGATCAGGTATCTAGCTCAAGGTGAGATTCCACCTACACATGTGGGAAGTGGTTTGTTTAATTTATGGCATTCTTACAAACAAAAGAAGGCTGGTTCCCGACGCCGGGGATCGGGGGGAAAGTGCACGCCTTCGAGTGCCAAAGATGCCTGAACGCACATGGGTACATCTGGAGGCTCTTTTCTCACACCAGCAGAAAGTCGCCTGCAGAAAAAGAAGCGAGGGAAGGGGCGGAAAATAACCCTGCGGAGAGCAATCCCAAGCACGTGAAGTAAAGGCCGAACGAAACAGAGGAAATGCGGATTTGCATTTCCTGTCATGTTGGTACCTATAGGGGCGAACACGTTTCTACACACACGCTCCAGACTCCGGCTTAAAGAGAGGTGTGCTCCGCTGCACCTCCTTTCTTGAACAATAAAGCTACTTTTGTACTGAGAAAGGCTCCTGGCTCCAAGTTTTGTGAATGATGTTACAAATCTTGGGGTCAGACGCCCGCCTTTCTCAATACCAAAGTGTTCCCCATTAGTCTTCACTACTAAAACAAGAACGCATCTTAATTCCACGCCCGTTTTCTCCTTTGCATTTTATTTTATGTTATTTTAAAAAAGGTCCAGAGAGGCAAGTGCGATAGGGAACGTGGGAACCAAAGCTTCCTCAAAAGTTCCCCGTGCCTCGTGCAACCTCAGCCTCTGCGTTTTTCTTCCGCAACAGCACTTTTGACCAGATCCCTTCGGTCTCGTCAGAAATCAAACAAGTTCCTAGTTCAGATCTGCCTGATCCGCCTGGTAACAGATCTATTCCCCTATTGGTTTATGCTAATTCCAGTTTCCTCTTGTATTGGAGCCCGGTTGAGGGGGGAGTTCCCTCCAGGAATTAGAGCCAATTTTGTTTTAAGTGGGCGATCTCGCTCCTGCAATATTGCCACACGCAGCAGAAGCCGTTTTTTTCTGTGCAGCCGTCTCAGCTGGAGGGTGGTGGTACAAGGGGGGCTCCGGAAAAGCTGTAGCTGATACCACTCCATCTCATAAATCAAGGGCTCCTGCCACACCGATGCGGATTTTTATGAATGAAAAAAACAACATTGCTCTCATCGTGTCCTTAAAAATAAATAAATAAAAAGCCCTGGAAAGGGAAACCGATTTTTTTTACAAAGCAAATATTGTTTGGGAGAGAGAGAAGCGCGTGCAGCTGGCCATTGACCGACTTTTATTTGCTAAAAACACATTAAGAAATAAATTTTGAGCAGCAGACAATGGGGCCAAGCGCGCCTGAATCGAGGACTGATAGTCCCTTCTGCTCATAATCGTGACACACGATCTTTTAAAAAGAAGACGAAGAGCGGGCGGGAGAGGTGTCGTTCCAAAAAAGTTTGGAGGGTCGGGAATTATTATGCAAAACCATATCCTTTTAAGTTTGCATATCAAGGCGTGCCTGGAATTTGCGGAGAGTTAACGTTCCACAGTGGGAAGCTTCGCTTGATTGCGAAGGCGCCCCGAAGACAGAGAACGTGCACAGCGAATAATGGCATTTTCATGAAATAGTCGCATATACATACATGCAGAGAGAAAGAGATTTTTTCCCCTGCGTGGAACTGGGGGGGGGGCGTGCGCAGGAGGCTCAGACTGGAATTCTAGGTATTTACATGAGAATAAATGCCTAGAACCTAAGGGGAATTACTTCCGAGTAAACATAGGACTGAGCCATCAGAATTCTTAGAGTTTCTTCATTATTTCCTAGAACCACCTATCTTTAGAGCCGTGTCGAGTGGCTTTCCTTTATGCCCTCTTAGTTGTGGCGTAAGCCTCCTTAAGACTCATTTTGGAGTAAGCGCAGCCCTAAGAATGAGGTCTACACCAGGGTGGGGGGGATTGTGCGCAAATAAAAGCAGTAGCGCTTCCTCATGCCTCTTAAGTACAAGCTGGGCTTGGAAGCTGGCGGGTTCAGAAATTTCAATGAAGACTAGAGCGCCACGTTCTTTTTTTCTTCTTCCTTTTCACCCTTCAGATCGTTTTAAATAGCTACTATTTAGTAAGGCTGCGTAATATTTGGGGATCTTAAACCTTTCTTCGACCTTTTCCCCAGGGGTGGTGATAAACCCCTACATTTCCCTCCCCCATGTAGAAGGGCTTGGTGGTGTTTGCCAGTCAATAATCAGTATTAACAATAGCCGGATCATCAGTCTGCAGATCAGTCGACATAAACCGGGGTCGGGAACAACTGTCGGGTGCTATTATTCAGCGGTGTTTGTTTTCAAAGGGGGTGGCTGGGCGAACATGCCTAGAGCTGAAACATATGCCACAATCAGCTTGCAACTCCACACCTTCTTTGCCATGTGCTTCTTCAATGTCTGCGGAATGCGCCCGCGCCTATAATTCCGGGAAAGAAGGAAAACGAGATCGCCGCGCTGATCTGAATGAATGAGTGAATGAATGAATGAATGGGAATCTTCCCCTCGATTTTAGCAGGGGGACGGAGAATGGGTTTCCGGCTAAGCGGAGTGGAGGACATGGCCACCATCTTGTTCATGCCTCGCTTGGCCTTTCACTGGCTGGCTGGCTGGCTGGCAGCCCGTCTCCTGTTCCTAGATCTTTTGGGCCAACGCTTTTACCTCCGGTCCAAAACGCATTTACTTGGAAACACACACACACACACACACGACTTCGAACGTCTTTTTCAGCGTAAGCGGGCATTCAGCGGGTGAGCTGAGTAAGAATAAGATTCTTAGACACATGAAGCTCCTATTGAAATCAGGGTGCGTGTGTTCTTCCATATCATGCGTTTAGAAACAAAAAAAGGGGGGAGGGACGCCAAGCCTCAGTTTGTTCATTAGATCACCCGAAAGTCTCAATGAGACCAAGAGGGGAGGCTGAATGGCAATCCTTTCGGCTCAGAAACTCCGAACCTTTCTAGAACAGGAGGTAGTGATATTCTAAAATGACAGACAGACAGAGAGACAGGAAGGCTGGCGGGGTTCTAAGTTAATGGCTAAGGGTGCTGAGCTCAGAAAGCGGTGGCGGGGGGTGCCCTTTTCCCCTTCGCAAATGAACCCGAAGCTCGCCTGCGAGCCCATTCTGCCCAAACCTGCCTGTGTGTGGCCTAGTCTCATTCATCATTTGGCTCCGGGAGCCCTCTCGGTTTGGGAGGAGGGGGAAAAATTTCTGCCTGATCCAGAGGAAAGACAATTTGGGCTTCCCCCACCACCTACCTCTCCTTCCTCCAAAAAGAGAGAGAGAGATTGAGAGAGAGAGAGAGAGAGAGAGAGAGAGAGAAAGCGAACTCTCTTGTCCTCATTTGCATGTGTATTAAAAGCCCTGCTTCTGTCTTCGTGAAGCAAAGGGGAAGGACTTGGAGCCTATGGGATGGCTTTAGGGCTCTGCCCCCTTGCTTTTGGGTTCTTCCCCCCCCTCCCTCTCGCTTTCGCATTCTCTCTCCGCGCTTTGATCTCTGCTTAACAACAGTCACGTCACGGGGACTCAATACAGGAGAGTTTTGTTGGAAGTTAGAAAGTTTTGCAGCCTCCAGAGGGCTGTAGCGGCAGTAGCAGCAACAGCAGGCAAAGCAGGCGGGCGGGCGAGCGAGTAGCATCCGAGGGACGCCGAGGGAAGGAGGAGGTGGGGGGGGAGAGAGAAAGAGAGAGAGAGAGGAAGAGCCAGAGCCACTGACTCAGTCCTTTAAGCGAAATTTGAACAATAAATAAATAAATAAAAAAGAGGAAAAGCTGCCTGCAGGAAGAGGAGGAGGAAGAGGAAGGGAAGGAGGAGGAGGAGGAGAAGAAGACGACGACGACGAAGCAGCAGCAGCAGCAGCAGCAGAGAGCAAGGAGGCGGCTGCGGCGGCGGCAGAAGCAGACATGGAACATCAGCTGCTCTGCTGCGAAGTGGAGACCATCCGGAGAGCCTACCAAGATGCCAACCTCCTCAATGACAGGGTCTTGCAGACGATGCTGAAGGCGGAGGAGACCTGCTCGCCTTCCGTCTCCTACTTCAAGTGCGTGCAGAAGGAGATCTTACCATATATGAGGAAAATAGTGGCGACTTGGATGTTGGAGGTTGGTAACCTTGCCTTGCAAAAAAAAAAAAAAACACTTCGGAAAGAAAAAAAGCGTGTGCTTTCTAGAAATAAAGCCATTCCTGCCTCCCAGTTGTCTGTCTGTCTGTCTGTCCTCTCTCTCTCTCTTCCTTCCCTCCCTCGCGTTTCCTGCACCCTAGAACATATTGCGAAGGGTCGATCTCCCCCGCCCGCCTTCCTCTCCCCTGCCTTGACTTTCTCTCTCTGCCTGAGAGGCTTCAACCAGACCAGGTCCCCGACACCGATAATCGAGGCTTTAGGGTCAGTATAGAAGGAATCCGGGCAAAGGGAAAGGGGGGACCGAAAAGAAAGTTTCGGAAGTTTCCGAAGGCGCCCCCCTTTCCTTCCTTGCGGCTCCGCGGGATCCTCAGGCGGGTTCCCTAGATCCCACGAGCCCACCGGGACCCCTCCGGATTCCTGGCCAGCCCTTCAAGCTGCCCATGCTTTTGATTGAGATTTTATTTTAAATTAATATCCATGGACACGTATGCAAGTCCTCTCCGTGCCAGTATTATGCGCCATCTTTGTTCTTTTATTGCAAGGGCCAAGTGTTTATTAATAATTAGAAAGGGAGAAGCCCGCCGGAGGGGAGGCGAAGAAAGTGGGGTGCTCGGAAGGGGGTCCCGGGAGGGAAACCAAGTTCGGGGCTTGCAAACTTGAGGGAGCCGAGGCTCGAAACTTCTCTTTGTTCGGAGCAGAGCGAGCGAGCGAGCCCCGGGTCTTTTCCCCCCTGCAAGAAGTGCTTCTGCTGCAGCGACTTGTCGGCAAGGACGCCCGAGGAAAAGCAGTGTGGATTTGGGGTCCCCCTTGGGAGACACGTTTCAGGGGGGTCCCATCAAGAACAGGGGACTCCCGGCTACATTTTCAGCCTGTTTCCGAAGCGCTACGTCGCCGCGACCTATTTTTAATTAATTTTTGAAAGTCCGGGGGCTGGCAAATGTCGCACGTTGCTTCTCTGGGGGAAGAGGCGAGAGGCATGGGGAGTCCAGGAGTTTGACTTCGGGGTACCTCCCTGGAACGTGCCCTGCCTTCCATCCCAATGGGGATCAGTAAAGGATCCTCCGGGGGTTGTTTTCAGGTACTTTTGGGGGCTCTCCTGATTTTTTACATATTTTTAAATATTTTTTGAAAAGATGACGTCTGGGGAAAAAAGCGTGCAGCTGCCTCTCGACGCCACCTTTGTGTCTCGAGCAAGGGGGGGGGGAGTCGGCAGCACCCAAACCAGTGGGAACCAATAGGGGGCATCTAAGCCATACAACCCCCCACACACAACAGTTTAAAACTTTTCTTTTTCTGACTGGGGGGTTGCTTTTGATTTCTGAGAGAATCAAAAAGAACCTTTTCTTCCCAACGCCGACCACGTTTCTTAACGCCACATTTCCCTCATTTGCGACTTTCTCTTTCAGTTCTTCTATAATTCACATACATTGCTGCTTCTTATGGTTTTTTTCCCCCTCCCTCACAGAGCAAAGGAAATTCATTTAACTTGCTTTCTCCCCCCTTCATTCCTTGAAAACTGTTTCGTTGCTGGACGGGGGAAAGAAAAAAAAGAAGGACTTGGTTCAACATTTCAACACTCTTTTTCTCTCCTCTCCCCCACCCCTTCTTCAGGTTTGTGAGGAACAGAAATGCGAAGAAGAAGTTTTCCCCTTGGCTATGAATTATTTGGACCGTTATCTTTCTTTAGAACCCCTTAAGAAAAGCCGTTTGCAACTGTTGGGAGCTACCTGCATGTTCGTGGCCTCCAAAATGAAGGAAACCATTCCTCTCACTGCAGAAAAACTGTGTATTTATACCGATAACTCCATTAGACCCAACGAATTACTGGTAATTTCATGCTTTGTCTCGGTGGGGAAACCAAACTTCAAAATGTACGAAGGGAAAGAAAACAATTCTGTTCTTCAGATCTTCCAAGTATAAACCCTGCTTTTGGTATTTGAGTACAAAAACTCCGAATATCGTTTGCCTACTTGGAATTTCTTTCCGCATTGCCTATATGCTTCAGTCCAGAATAACTGGAAAGAATCTACTTGAATATATGGCTAATGGGTTCTCATTATATCTGAGTGAGACAGGTGGGATATAACCCTGAGGTGCACATTTTTTGGAAGTAACTGGGTTGGATTTCCTTTTGAAGCAACCTACATCATGGTCAGATTCTTAATAATATGGGCACAGTGGGAGGAATAAGAAAATGCATTTGGTGTTGAAGTATTAGTTACCCCCAGAGCAGCTGCAACCCACATTGTGCAGTAGATAAATTGAATGAAAGTCCCCTAATAAATTAAATCCTAATTCTTAACTCCCAACAAGGAGAAATTTACAGTAACAAAATGGGGGAGAAGATGGGTGGCTGGCGCCCTCTTGTGTTCAGGAGCTCAAGCAAAGTGCCTATGCCTAGTTAACGAAGCGTTTTGCTTTGGAGCAGCTGGATGATGACGGGCTAGGAAAAGCGAGGAGAGGGGCGGGAACTGAATTATGTAATTTTCATGTGGAAAGGCGCCTTTCCCGCCTACTTCTGTTCTCCTCTGGTGGCCTTATGGCTGTGTTTGCCAAAAGTACAGTTTCTGATGCTCAAAAAAAGAGCCATCTTCTAAAATAGGGCAGCCATGGTATATGATGCTATGGTTAGCAAGCTGTTCTACAAATGAATGTTGCATTTCCAGTTGTATGTAAAGAAAAACTTGTAACCACTCCCCCCCTCTCCCTTTCTCCCCACCCCGCCACAGCAAATGGAACTGCTCCTGGTGAATAAGCTGAAATGGAATCTGGCTGCCACGACCCCTCATGATTTTATCGAACATTTTCTAAATAAAATGCCTGTGGCAGAGGACAGCAAGCAGATCATCCGTAAACACGCCCAGACTTTTGTGGCTCTATGTGCTACAGGTATGAGCCTTGCACTTTTCAACCAGGCGTGTTGTGTGTCTGTGTGCCCCTGCAAACACACTCTCCTTCCTTACTCCCATAGCATACTTCTGTTAATTTGGGCACTGCACTAAAGTGTCAGCATAGCTTGAGCTTTTGTGCAAGCTGCGGTATCATGTTCCGTTTTCTTCCTGAATCTGGATTACTTGGCCTAAGGTGAGTTTTTCCAGAAAAGAGGGATTCCACCCACCCCCTCGTCCCTTTCAAAGTGGAAAGAAAATGCCTTGTGGAATAATTAGTGGAAATGCAATGTGGTATTCATAGTTCAGCCTGAAAGAGCCAATGCAACATGGTATTTATACGTTGGCCTAGGATGCTTGTCCGTTGTAGGGCATCCGAGTTTCAGAAACTTGCCGTCTGGCCTCTTTCTTGCTGTTAAAACTACTGCGAAGTCTTTCAGACTGCCAAATGTATGTCTAGTTTCCCTAGAACGTTTGAAAATGACTTTTAGAAGCCACCCCGCTTCCTGCTTCTTCCCAATCCTCATAGTGGCTGACAAAAGAACAGGAGGAGAAACATGGAAAGGGTGCATAGCTAAAGCTTTCCGGCCAAGAGCTGAGTCTCTGCGTCCGCACCCAACTGACCACGTGCTCTGCTGAAGCCATGTGCTCTTGGATCCTTGGGAGGAGCTACAGACATTGAGTGAGCTCCAGGATCTCGCAGAGAGGCCTGGTTTTGGGTTTCAAGGGCAGTCACTGTGTGCGCATAGGCCTGCATTGTCAAGCACTCCATGCCCCCCCCTGTCCTCGCTGCCCTCCCCTCCCTTCCTTGATTGCCTATGCGTTCCCTCGTTTTTAAATAAGCTGGAGGGTCAGAAAGGGAACAGTTGCCCTCCTGATCTTCAGATGGAGTGTTGGTTGCATTTTTTTTAAATACAAAGGGAAAAATCTGGAGGGAGACAAAAATAAGATAAAAACCTGAAAATAGGGGAGTTCCTCCAGTCTGGCAGAAAAGTTCTGGATTGGCCAAAGACCAAGGAAGCAAAGGTTGCAAGACCGCATGTCCGCTTTGTGAGGAAGCCAGTAGTGTTGACTCTCTAGGATCTAATCCAGCGATGAGGGACATGGGGCCTTCCAGATGTTATTGAACAGCAAAGCTGATAGCTGTTGGGTGAGGCTGATTGGAGTTGTAGTCCAACAACATCTGGAAGATTGTGCACACATGCACGCACACCGTTCCTAAAGGATGCTTTTTAAAAAGACATAGTGCTGGGATTGTATACATTGATTTTATGAAATTCAGTATGCCAGAGAGAACATAATGCTGGGTGGCCACAGGGCAACTAAAAAAAATGAGTTTAAAATCCAAGGTAGCGCTTAGCTAAGGTAGTGAAGTCTCAGCTTTGCTAAATTTGGTGGTAGGTGCCAAGAGAAATAAGGAGTTTTTCCTTTTAAAATATATATATTGTTATGATTGTTAGGTTATTACTTTTATATAGTGTCTCCTACTGCAGGGTCTGGGTTTGGGGATGTAGCTGCAGGAAAAAATATGTAATTGTTGCCAGTTGACTTTCATTTTAAGCCTATCTGTAGAACAGCAGAGGGTTTGGGTCTTTTCAGAAGATGAGTTTCTTGCCAAACCCTTTAAGAATATTAAGATATTTCAAAGTAGATTTTAAGGCAACATAGTTAACTAACGAGCAGGACCAGCCATTTAAGAAACTTTGCAGCACGTTTGTGAACTCCAGTGAAGGTTGAAGCCCAGTTTGTATCTGTGCCATTCAATTCAATGGTCTCTCTGCTGTTGCCCCCTGTTTCTTTTCTGTTTCTCTCTTGTGCCCATCCAGCCTTCTCTTTGGGATATGGGGATGTTTAACCTGGGTTATTGCGCTGGCAGAAACAGTTCCACAGTGATGAAAACAAGAATAGTTCAAAGGTTGGAGGCTTGCAGAGAAGCAAGTACTTTGATCTGCTTGTCACTGTTCTTGTGTTTCTTTTTAGAAGGCACGTCTAGAGGTCTATCTTAAACATTGTTCTAAACGCCATACATAGCGCCGGCAAATGAATGGATGAATATAAATCTTGTCCAGAAATGTTTTACACAGGCTTAGAAGGAAGTGTGGAGGTCAACAGGGATGTCTACCCCTTTGTACATGCATGCACAACCATTACAAAGTCAGCAGGAAATCGCTGGGTGAATTCGTGCTTTAAAACCATGTTTTTTATTTGTTTGTTTATTTGTTTTTTAAAATTCAGCTAGGGATGCCTGGACAGAAATCAGGCATAGATAGCACAGGGTGTGGCTTCGTTACAGACCAGTTTAGCTGGGCTGTTGGCTGCATTCTGCTTGGTTCTGAAGTGCCAAAGAACTTAATTTTTGACAAGGTATGGACACTGTTTACCACTGAGGAGGCTTCCTCCAGGCCCACTGAGATAAGGTACCTTTGGCTTTTGGATAAAATAAAGAGCACAGACTCAGCTTGATAGGAGAAAATGGGAGTGATCTTTTTAAAGGACATCACAGTATTGGGGTGCTGACTTCAAAAGTTTAAGGACTGGAAGGAAACATTTTGAACAAGGTGAAGGGAGGGATTTAAAAGACAAGAAATATTTCTATCAGTGCAGTTTTGTTCAAAATACAAAGACGATTACAAGCAAAGGTGATGTTGAAAGGAATTACTTTCAGATACTTCCTCCCACTTGTTTGCCTAACCCTGTTGGATTTGCTGTATCATTTTTGTTTTATTGAGGATACATTTTCACAAAAGACTCCTTTTGTGAAGTGGGAGGCTTGTGATGGAAGGAGAGCATGAGGAGGACTTCGGTTATTCAGCTTAATGAATAGGGTCTGGCAAGGCCAAACGAGGGATGGAATAGTACGAGTGAAGTAAGCTTCAGTGATCCAAATAGAGACCCCAGCCAAGGACCACCAGTAGCAAAGAATGGGACCAAATATGGGGAGGTTTCATCTCTCCTGGCATTCCTTTGGGTTGTCCGAATGAAATGGGGTCAGTCTCCTCAGGGAGGATTTCCAGTGGGTTCCTAAATAAGATATTCCCTCCTTTTCTGGAGCAAAGCTAGCTCTTTGAAGCAGGCTTTGCCACCCTTCTGTGCTCGGCGCCTTTCTAAAATTGGACGTCTCCAGGTATGTGACCCGTTGGAACCTGTTGCATCTTGCAGCCTGTGATTTAGGTGCAGAGTTTTGATTTGCCTCAATGAAAAGATTTTCATTCATAGCCCCCAGCTCTCCAGACAGATGGAATTGCTGCTCCATTTAAAAAGGAAGACTTGCCTTGTTAGGAATTTTTTTTTAAAGCTGCTACAGCGCCTAGATGCTGGCTTTGTCTTCCCTTCAGGGTGGCTGGCATTCTTCTCTTCTCCTCTCTTTCTCCCCCCTCCCTCCTCTCTTTTTAACAACACTGAAGTTGTTTATTCTTTTTGGATGAAGTCTCAGATAGGCTACTGGGGATGTGTGCTTCAATTGAGGGGGCCCCTTCCCCATTGTAGCTGTGTCAGGTCTAATTCATCTCACCGAAGCCCCCTTGTTCCTGAGCGTTCAATAGCGCAAGATGAGGCGATGGAGACTGACAATGATGCCACACTCTTCACTTGGGGGCATCCAATTACAGCCAAGCGGGGCCCCCTGATTAATATGCGGAAATTAGTGGTCTCTGCCACAAATAATTCCTTGTTGTGTCGCAACAAAAAAGTCTGTCCATGCTGCTTGTCTAGAGTGGTTATGAGGACAGACACAAACTGGTCATTTAAACTTCATGATCACTTTCTACCTTGGAAAGAAGGAGGACATGACTATGGATTTGTGTCTCTCTATGTATCACCGCATTAAAGAGAAATGCTGTTGAGGTTCCCGGATAGGATGCTTCGGCGCTATCTTGTGGATCCAACCCATTGAGACCTTCCTTTTCCATACCAGATGTTTTTATTCCAAATTTTCAAGGAATTTGGAATAATTTTCTAAAGGGACTGGGCGACCAGGATTGAGGGTGGACTTAGCCAGAATGAAGTGTTTCACAGCTATAATATTTTCCACATTCCTCAAAACCATGGGAGGCAGCCCAACAATTATTTGTTTAATCGTTTTGATCAAACTGAATGATGTTAGAAATGACTGAAAGTCCTTTTTCCAAATCATGTATTGTCAATGACACATACATTGGCATTCCAAATAGGTAATATAGGTTTTTCTAAAATGAAACATGGGGAAAAGAGAATCACAGACATGGTGTGGTAATGAAATATCAGTGCACATGGATCAGAAGTTGGCAACTTCAGGCCTGCCATCAGCCAAGAAGCCTGCGTAGCCATTATTCATGGATTATGGAAATTGTAGTCAAGGTTTCCTGTCCTTGACACAATGTTTTAGGGCATCCTCTTCCCATCTGGTGCCGGTAACTCTGATCACACACACACACACACACCCTGCAAGTTTCCACCTTTGATGACCACCCCCCACATCTGAAGGGAGTCTATTTTAGTGCATCGTGCAACATTCAGTTCATTGACTAATTTTTGTATGCCTCCATTGCAGTGTATACATGTTGATAAATTGATAGTTGCTTCTGCTCAAATGCATGTTCCATTTTTAAAAAAATACCATTTTGCAATGATGCAGTAATTTTCCCCTTCAGATTTTTTGGACTTCCCATCAGCAGACATACACTCAGCATAACCAGTGACAAAGGTTTATGGGAGTTGAAGGCCACCCATATCTTGTTATCCTCAGACCATTGACTTGGAACAGGTGCAGGTACTTACAGGTATTGGGGCATATCCAGGGAAGCCCTTCCATTGACAGAGATGGTTTCCATCAGTAGATTGAGGAAAGGGATGAATCCCATCTGTTGAAACTCCTTTACAGCCTCAGAATCTGCTCCGGGTGGTTAAGGGAGCAAATAGGTTGGAGGTCTACAATGAGAGGAAGAGGGTGAAAATTTCTTTTGTGACCAGAACTCCACTTGGCAGAGCATTGGCTTTTGCTTGCTATATGGACAAAGAAAAAAAAAAGAAAAGCTGTCTAATCTGGATATAAATCTGTTGAGAAAATAATTTTCCCGTCATGAGTTCTGCATTTATGCTTGTTTAAGTACATCAATTCATTCCTAGACTATCCCTTCCACCCAATTAGGATGCTCAGAGTGGCTTCCATTGCCAATAAACACCTCAATATTATAAACTGTATGCTGCTAGAGTGGAATTCAGGATTTTGTTCATGGGTTGTGGAACTGGATGGAGAGACTGGGGAGTGATTCTTAAATTGATGTCCATAAGTTGGCATTTTCTGCTTTCCTTCATACAGTTTGGATACATTGAGTCATATTCCCCCTCGTTTAATCCCTGGTTATGGTCAAATGTAGGGATGAATTAAACTGCATTTAGAAGAAGGCGCCTAAGCTGAACAATGCAAGTTATTGCTTTTGTCATTGTTGCTGTAAGAAGGAATAACATTCTTGATAGCAGTTTTAGGCCAGGCAATCCTGGGAGTGGCTTTCTAGGAAGACCTACAGCAATGCCGTCTGGAAGTGGGCCCAGGCTTTTGTCAGCATGGTGTCACATCAGAATGTAACATTGCCTGCCAATTTTTGGGACCCCGTTCACTTAGCTATGCCACATTTATCTTATATTCCTCTTGTGAGAGTGGAAGGCAGTCAGTGATAAAACGGAAAGCTTGAAGCAAAACTTCTACAAGAGGACACATTCATTTAAATGAATTCAGATAGAGGAATTTGTGCCCTATTGCTGTGGTGGAGGACCTCATATGTAATGTGGAAGTATCTCAGTTATCGTTGTTTGGGTTTGGATTTTCCAAATTTGAACCTACCATTCTTTCTAAAGAAGAATGTGTTTTTATTAGTCTAGGCACAAATAGTTGAGTAAATTCAAATCTGCAATACTTATTGAAAAACAGGCTGAAGACTGAACCCATGAGGTGCATCCAGATTTACTCAAAAGTAAATCCTGTTGAACTCAGTAATAGGTTTATGGTTGCGGTGTTAGATGGTGTTTTACAAGAAAGCTACTAGTTTATTTCATTATATTTTGGGGGGTTGGGCTTGTGTAGGAGGAAAATTGGAGACTCTAAAATATGTGGCCGGGCAATGTTGAGATTCCAGTTGAGTGCTCATTCACCAGCAAACTTAATTGTCTGATAATAAATGTATGTATTTATTGCACTATTGGGCCACCCTGTAACTACCATGTTTCCCCAAAAATAAGACAGGGTCTTATATTAATTTTGTTCCAAAAACACATTAGGGCTTATTTTCAGGGGATTTTTTTTTTCATGTACAACCATCTATATTTATTCAAATAGAGTCATGTCATCTTTTGATTGCTGCACAATGCTGCACAATGGTGGAGGGTGGGGTTTCACTTAACTGGGGCTTATTTTTGGGTTAGGGCTTATATTACAAGCATCCTGAAAAATCATACTAGGACTTATTTTCAGGTTAGATCTTATTTTGGGGGGCAAGGGTAGAGGTCTCTGGGTGGTATACTGTGGCTGAAATCATGTTAATTAGTGTGGTAAGACCCTCTGAATCAGTAGAGGTCTGATGAGTCAATTACGCCATAAGTTCCATTGATTCAAATGGGCCTACTTTAGTTGCAGGTTACTTTAGTGTAGTAAGTCTCAACTAGAGTAGGCCTATTTGAAAAGAAGGAGAGAGAAACATCATAAGAAAATTGGAAACAAGGAGTAAAAAATAATATATGCAAACCAACAGCAGTACAGCATTATCAAATAATGTATATTACATTGGCCAGAATTCTGTTTGTGATTTATGTGTATATATAAGTTAAATTACACATTCCAATGAATTTGTGGCTAACTTGCTAGGGACTGGTCATATGCCTCTTACCTGGATTGGTGGCTTATTAGTTAGTGGCAATTTACTGTAGTGAATTACATAATTTTAATTTATGTATGCATTAACTGCCTTTAGGATTCTAGCCATCATTTTTCACTGCCCAAGATGGAAACATCATGGAGTGTAAGATTATGGCTACATTTCAAAGGAACAACTACAGTTTTAGACACAGTATGATTTAACCATTGTCAAATCTAATCCAGAGTCTGGAAATAATTTCCTTTTCATACTACATTTACCCAAACTCACCAAAGAGTATGGTTATTGGTTGATGTAGGACTAATGATGAGAACAGATCATTTTCCAGAGAAGAAAACTTGCAGGGAAATGCTCTGGAACCCATCCTCATGCCCTTGAGATGTGTCAGACTACAAGGCCCATAGCTGGAGATTATGGTAGTTGTAGGCCCACAAACCTGAAGGCCCCAGGTGGCAGACACCTCCTTGAAAATAACCAGCCAGCTTAGAGGTTATCGGTTCACAGAGACATGGTGTGCAAGGTTTAAGCTGCCTTAGGCTGCATGTTTAACTTGGGCAGATGTACATCCTTTCTGCCCATTTGCTTTTCTGCATTGGGAAGGCCTCTTGCATCTGTAAGAGATACTGTATAAACAATCTCACTTCTCTTTCTCTGTTTCCCCCTGGCAGATGTAAAGTTTATTTCGAATCCACCTTCCATGATTGCAGCTGGTAGTGTGGTAGCAGCTGTGCAAGGCCTTCATCTTGGAAACACTAACACATTTCTCTCTTATCAATGCCTCACACATTTCCTATCAAAGGTTATCAAATGTGACCCGGTAAGTAATTCTTGATCCACCACTGGTACTTTTGCCATGAATTTAATGATGTATCAATCTGTCCCCATCAGGCACATATGGATACAAATTCAATGCAAAGGCCACATGTTGTTTCACATATTTCTTCCAGGTGTTACCAATAATTATCATGCACATTTGTAATACAGAGTCATGCTTTGTTTGAAATACAGTGCCCAGAATTCTTTGGCCATCTGGCTAGGGGATTCTGGGTATCATCGTGCAAAAAAACCTGCTATGTTGCACAGGCTGTATATTACCTCTCATGAAATTCTAAGCTTTCTGGCAAAGAAGTGCCAAGAAAATTGAGTGTAATCTGTTAGATCAAGGCTATATTGATTTGATTTATAGACAGTTAAGCTGTGGGAGAAGCCACTTTGAAACAAGTAGTGTTTGCTGTAACTGGACTGAATGGTATCTTCTATTTTATTTTTGACCATGCCTAAGATGTGTTTGAATGCTAAATTATGTCAGGAAGAACATCCTTAGGCAGCTACTATCTAATTATCTACTTGCTTTACTACATGATAGACCTGAACAATGGATGGTACATAATTCCTTCCTCTTCTCTTGCTCCGTTTTTATTGTTAATATGTTTGTCCCATGATCTTGTGAAAAGGTAGATGGTAGAACTCCCCTTTCTTCACAGTGCAGCTTCCTGGAGATGCTCGTCAGTAACTTGTGAGCAATAAACCTTTCATGAATGAATGGGCAGGAAGGGAGCTTACAAGGGAAATCAATGATCCATGCCCTAATGGTGTGTGAAGTTGGGGCAGGGTTAGCTTTGTACTGGAACAATGTGAAAACCCAGTAAACAGATGGTTCAAAGAGGTTCTTGTGAGGTCTCCCAAGTGCCAAAAACCGAGTCAAAGTCAGCTGAATCTTGGAGGTATGGCTGCGGTTTTCATCTGATGCACATGTGTGCATAAAAACACAAAATCTTAGAACACAGAAACTGGATTGGTGAAGTTCACTTTGGGTCCCTAAATATAAATGATATTATAGTAGAAGTGGAATCCAGTGGTATCTTGTATCTTGCTGTTGAATTACCCTACAGATACATTAGTTTAGTTTTATTATTACTACGGTTCATGACCAGCAAAAGACATTAAATATAATGCAGATTAGATTTACAAGGCACTCAGAACGCTAATACAGAAGGGGAAAAAAAAGGAAAATTCTAGCTTAAAATCATTACCTATCAAATCTTTATGTGTCTTGCGTGTATCTGTGAGAAATTTTTGCACAAGTATAATCTGGGGACTAAGGCCTAAAAGTAGTTTGTGTGAGAGTTCTGTTTCAAGACAGCCTGAAAACCAGTTATGTGGATATATATTATGTTTTGTATCCATTGCTATTAATGTGTTCTCTTCCTCTTTGTGGTATTACAGTGGAGGCTATGGGTAGCCCTTTCAGGATCACATGCACTCATTTGCAAATCACTTGCATCAGAAAAATTACTTGCTCTAGTTTCATTTCCTTTTTGCACAGCAAAAAGAACACTTTTTTAAACAGCAGAACTCACCTGCACAAGATTCTGCCGCATCTTTATCCTACATATTTTTCACCTTGTTACCAAAATATAAAGAGCCCGAGAGAGATGTGTTTCAATTGGTGGAAATAAATTCTGCGATAAGCCATGCAGCCCACATCTGTACCACATGTATGGTGTCAGGGCCTAAAGGTATAGTTCAGTCAGCATTGGTAACCTTCTGGTCTCTGCCAGCCTTCTTATTTCTGCTGGAGTTCCACTGGCTTCAGTGTCATTACTGCAGCTGGAAAATTTTGTCTTAAGAGCTTTTAGTGCAAGCAGTATCAGCTTCTTGCTTGAATTCTTGCTGTTTCATACATTGAACTAAAATGGTGATATATACATTAGTTCATTAAGCTTTTGTATGTTTCAGTCTGCCTGGGAACAACGCAGATTTTTCCCTCTGCACCTGGCCTGTGACGTGTAGGGCTTGGGGACTCAGCAGTAACTAAGGCCTAAATTCAATTGGAAGTCCCAGTTAGGGCAGACCCATTGAATCTGGGGGATTTACGTAGGTGTGGACCTGCATTTCAGCTACTGGTTCAGTGGGTCTACTCTAGTTAGGGCTAGCAGTTCCCTTTCTTTTGGATCCAGCCCATAGTTAGTTTGGTTTTTGTGAGGATTGATGACTCCTCCATCAACCCTTGTTAAGGTTTCAGGGTGGGTGCTGCCCCTCTTGGGAGAGCCAGCTCAGCCACAGAAGGCCGCTGACCTGGTTTCCCAAAGAGTCCAGGTGTTTCAGTTTGAAAATGTTCTTCCTCAGACTGCCAGGTGTAAGCCAGGAAGCCACAGAGACTTCCTGTACTTCCACAGCTGTCTTGCCCACTCTGCCTCAGCTGGAAGCCAGTGGTACCTTATCTCTTGCCTCAGAGCATTTTGGGTGAAATGTTGATTCACTGTGATCATGTTAATGGTTCTGTTGCTCATTTTCTTTTGATGACCTGGGTTGACCACCTTGAGGGCAGTTTTTTAGTGGAAAGGCAGAACAGAAGTTTAGTAATAAATAAGTGTAATGGCCAGAATCCTGTTGATGATTTTTGCACGTGCTAGTTAAATTACATAACCCACCATGGTAAATTGCTGCTAACAAATGAGATGCCGGTTGCGCTATGAAGCATGCACCTGATTAAGAACAGGCTAACCAGGCCAGCATTTTTTATTAGTTACTGACAGTTCACCATGGTGAATTGTTAATCAACAAAAAGGTTCTGGCCGGTAAAGCTGTCATATATTAAATGAATTCATCTAGCCCAGTATTGTTAACAGTGACAAGCAGCAGCAGTCCATGGTGTCAAACAGGTATGTGGAGAAGCTAAGATTTGAACTTGGACCTTATTTGTCCAGGGCATGAGATCTGCTACTGACCAATATGTGCTACAGTTGTTTATTCAAACAGATGGTGATCTAGAGCAGTGGTTCTTAACCTTTGTTACTCAGATGCTTTTGAACTGCAACTCCCAGAAACCCTAGTCAGCACAGCTGGTGGTGAAGGCTTCTGGGAGTTGCAGTCCAAAACTCCTGAATAACCCAAGGTTAAGAACCAGTGATCTAGAGAACTCTGCTCAATATGCAAGGTGATTTTGTTGAGGGGAAAAAGGTGGTAATCCTCAAAAGAGAAAAACGGTTAGGTTGTTAATGGAAGGTTTTTAATTGCTCACCCCCGCTTTTTTTTTTAATCAAGATAGCTAAAGATAATCCGGGATCCCATTTGTCATAAAATGTAGCACTTCAAGGCATTTATTCTTCAATCAGTCTATTTTTGTTTGAGCTTTAATTTTACCACCACTTCTCCAAAAGGTTTTAGGATGGCCTGCTGTATTTACACATCATTCATATGTGCATGAATTCTACAATGAACCATACCCTGGAATCGCCTCCAGCAAAGACTGTGATGTCCTCAAAATGTATTGGGCCAAATAGGGGTGTTTCTGTGATTAAACTTTTCTCTTTTTCTTTTAAAGTTCTGTATCTTTAGGAGGCTAAAGATCTGGCCTTACTGCCTTTTGCTTACTAGGATGATAGTAATACTCATATACAAAGTCAGGTCACTGGTCCACGTAGGCCAGCATTTTCATATTAGCTGGACGCAGTCTTGGAGAGTTCCCATGATTGGGACTGAAGTCCTGATCTTCTGCAGCAAAGCATATGCTGTTATCACACAGAGACAGTCCTTTCCCTGATGATGTATTGGAAGTCACCCTTTTGCCCCCTGTCACAGTCAAATTTATTTGCTTGTATTGGGAAAACTAACACACTAGTTTGCTCACCAAGTTGAGCCTATGAGCAGTTGAGAGCCAGACTGGTCAGTGGGGCGTGTTGTCTTCCTTAAGACTCACCCTGTGTCCATATGTTGAATGCAGTATTTGCATAGTTCCAATGTACATTGAATCCGGGACATAATCATAAACCATACATTGTTAATTGACATGACTTTCAGGTTTGTGCTGTACAGTTTGGGCCAGTATACTTTGGGCTGTATACATAATAGACTATATACCTTGTGCAAATGTTAACATATGACAGGTGGATGTCCTCTTAGCCTGGTAGAAAAAAGACGGGGCATGATTCCCTCCGCCCTGCGGACTCTGTACACTTCTGACTCATTTTGGGTTTTGATAAGAAATCAACTTTTATCATCTCAGATCTGTTAATTCTAATACTGTAGTTGACTGCATTTGCTGTAATCAACATGCCAATTAAATGTCAAAATCTTAATGTTATTAGAACATGTCTGTTCTGGACAACTTGCTTATGTGTTTTTCACAAAGATGCTGGCTCCAGTCATCTGTAAGAATCAGAAAGAACCAGAATTGCCTTGTTCCTTCCGATAATCTGCTGTGACGTGCATCTTTTGAAATTGAGAACTGCAGGGTGAGGTGGTCAGCAAAAATTGCCTCCTCTTCCTTTTGCCAGCAGGATCCTCCATGGATCAGAAGACTTCCATGTACATGATTTTGTGGAAGGCTATTTTAAGAAATATCCCCCTGATCTACACTGACATAATTCTTTTATGAAAGGCCATTTCAGCAAAAAGTTTACACAGGTTAAAACTTTCATTCAGTACTCAGTGATGCCAAATATTAAGCAACTACCTCCAGTGCTAGTAAAGTTTGAGATCAGTGAATCTAATATTGAAACAGATTCTTAGGTGTAAGATCCCACAAATACAGTACAGTGGGGTCTTGACTTAAGAACGGCTTGAGTTAAGAACATTTTGACTTAAGAACCACTCTCATAGGAAAATATTGACTTGACTTGCATACTTAGATTTGAGTTAAGAACTGAAAAAAACCACGTGGGAGGCAGGGAAAGTGCAAAATTTGAGCTTTCAGTTAACTGTTGGCCAGTGAAAAGGGTGCCTGTCTGTTTCCTCACTCCTCCCAGCGTTTAGAGAGTGGATTGGGAGACAGTCTTCAGACTGCCTGGTACTGCCTGGACTGTCTTTTCCCTG